GATGGATGGATGGATGGATGGATGGATGGATGGATGGATGGATGGATAAACAAATAGATATATCGAAAGAAAGAAAGAAAAATAGTCACTAGATAACATAAAATTCCACAGCAACACACACGGTATCCGTTTATATTATCCTGGACGACAGGTGGCGTTTTTAAGGCCCAAAAAAGCTTGTTAAATCCATTTAAATCCTTGTGTTCCTGATCACTTGAAACCATTGACAAAAAAGGTCAACGAGAGCATTTCCGGGAAAGCATGCTGAGGATTTTATAAACGTGATATTTTTTGAAGCATTATTTCTTCCTTCTTTGGGCACATGCTAAGACTGACTGGACGTTGCAGCGCGCAAATAGATGAGTTGTTGTCCTGTTCCATTGGAGACTGTGCAAACCAAAACTAATTAAAATTTTGGAAGTATCTGCAGGAAGCTCTTTCCAAAGGTTGGCAAGCGAACCTGGTCAGCTCTCATTTGTGTGGATTGATATGATTGACCTGGATCATTTGGACATGGAATTCTTGCGGACCTTGTGAAGCTCCCTATCGTTGCCAGATCTTTAAGGAAGCACAGCATGGAGGACTGTTGCACAATCTCGAATTTCCTGGGAAATGAGTTCTGAGGGCTTGTCTTTTCCAAGATATCATAGAACCTCAGCACAGGATTCCACAATAGTTTTGCACCTTGTCGGATGCCATGTTGGCCTCAGGATTTTATAAAACTGAGACCGGTGTGTGTCCCTGCTGCACCAAAGGTTTTTCGGTGACCAAAAAAGTTCACAAAGGATGGCCAAAGGCTGTCGACCTTTGGTGCTACTCGGGCAGGCCGATGCAGTGGCTTGCCCGAACATGTGCATGACATTGGGTCATGTTATTTTTTCCTGGACGATGCTTTCCGATCTTTCTGGAAGATTTTGAAAAAAGGGCGTCGATATCTGCTGCTTGACTGATATACTGATCATTCTGGTTTGACGATTGAGCCATTGAATTTATTGAAAAAGATCCACAAGATCCAAAAGTTTGTTTCTTAACAGAGTGCGTTTCAAGGCAAGCTGGCAGCAGAACCGATTTGAGGAAGCTGTTGAAGTCCTTTGTTCCAAAATGGAACGAGGGGTGTCTACTACCCTCAAGGGAATTGCAGCTTGTACCGTGCTGCAGATGCATGAGTCATGGCCACGTCGTTTCGAAGCGACACGTGCTTGCAAATGAAAACAACAATGCGTTTTGGGTGGGCTGGCCAGGTTCTGGATACTGTAGCCTCATTGCCTGTTCAAATTCGTTCATATTTTCCTGTCACATCTTAAGAATACTTATCCAGATTATCCAGTGAAAATCAGTGAAAGATGTTGAAAACATTGGTTTGTATTGCTTTTTCCTGGATATTGATCTTGAAAAAAGGTGTAGATTGTAGATGACAGGCATTTGAGTGATGATTTATGATGATTTGGGTGATGATTTGGGTATGACCACGGAGCCTTTAAATCATACACCCAAGCCATTTCTGGTGCCTTTGCTTGCAGGTGCTGAAGGAGAACGAAGAGACCGGGGTTGCTTGCAGGTGCATCAGTGGAAGTTCATGTGTTTCATATTTGTGTCATTTCAGGTGTTGTTTTGTCTGTCCTGTGTTTGAAGTGTGGCCAGACTGGTCTGCAGAGAGTGTGAGGGTGACTTGTCCAGTGTTGTCTGCCCACGTGGAAACATGCGCGCAAAGAGATGAAAGAGCTAAACGACACGCTGTCGTTTGGGGTGCTCTCATAGTTGTGTCAACATCGTCTTTAGCTGCTTTTAGTTCTTGTATTATACATTATATGTTAAAAACATCTTTATGCAACGTGCTCAGAGCATGAGGAACACAAGCACAGTGATAGATGTCAAAAATGTCCTCATCATCAAGTGTATCTTTTTGGATTGTTTGCATGCAGGAAAGGAAGGACAAGTCTGTCATCTTTATCGACAAATTGAAGAAGAATATTCCTTCCAGGCCTTGCGCTGGTCTTTCCTGAAACCTTGGGTTGTGTTTGAATTTTCCCCTGTCCACTCCGGCCTACATTGTTCGGTAAATTAAAGGTTCCCTAGAAACTCCTCAAATTGTGGTCTTATAAAATCCAGTGTTTTGAGTTTTCTTTTTAATGGAATCCTGTTCTTCCTTGTGTTGTTTTTTTAATTTTCCTGCATTCACGCAAACTTGAAATCCATATTAATACATTTTTACACATGGGAATCGGATTCTTTATAATAAATGGTTGTCGAGCTACAGGAAAATACTTGCCGTAGGAACCCTGATTAGATAGATAGATGGATGGATGGATAGATAGATCGATGGATGGATCGATATATGGATGGATGGGTAGATAGATCCATGGATGGATGGATAGATAGATGGAAGGATAGAAGATAGATCATCAGATCGATGGATGGATCGATATAGTATATGGAACAGTATATGGATGGATGGATGGATGGATGGATGGATAGATAGAGCGTGCCATGTGTAGCAAGAGGCAGCTATAGGTGATCCGCAGCTTTATACTGTGCTCGGAGCCCTCGTGCCGACGCCCTGCTGGGTCGGCTGATCGTTCAGGAGTGAAACTGATCGAATTTATGGCACATCGCGAAGGCGATCGCACGGGCACTGCTGCACCACTGAAAGGGACGGGCATATTTATCGATCTGTTGGGGTGCTTGAAAAGGGGTCCACGTATAGGATCATGTAGGTATAGCTTGCCCAGTCGCGTGGAGTGTGGCCTTCGAGACGAGACCTCGCGACAGGTCTCGAGTGGTCTGCACCCGCTGGGGAAAGCAGCACAGGACAGGGGCCGTGTTGAAACGGGCACTCCGGAAGCCCAAAGGCTGCAACTAACATCCACAAATGAGTCTCTTGGTGAATGAGCGCGTACAAATGTCGACACGCTTTGGACTTCCACGGTCTAAGGATTACAAATACTTAAAAATACACAATAAAAATACACAATAAAAATAGAGCCGCTGCTTGACTCCTGGAGTCAAGTAACACCTCTGCCAGCCAGCAGGCTTCTTGCGGCTGCAGCATGTTGACATCACGAGTCTCGCGAGCAGCAGCGTCTAATGCAACGTCTCATGCGTTTCACACCATCACCATAGCTGCACCAAAGAACCAAGATTTGCACGAGGAAAACGAGGCTCAAGAGAAGCCCCAATCTTGGAATGCCTTGGCCTTTGGCATATTCTTCCACTTGAGCATTCATCCATCCCCTGGTGGAGGTGAAGGCCGTCACAAAGAACACTCCTCAGCTCAGGTGTTGGACCCCGCGCCGAACGGGCCAGCGAATGCGACATGCGTTCGTGTCGAGTCTGCGTGGTTATGAAGCGAAGGCCGGTCTTGCCAAACAGCGGGGCTCAAAGTTAATCAAAGTTATATATATAACTGCGTGAAGATGCTTGCAATGACTGCCTGGGAGGGTTTTAGTTTAAGCCCTGAAGGAAGTGTAAGGATTGCCTGCAAGGCCTGGTGCCACCGCGTAAAACCTCTGACATCCTCTGACCCCAATAGGCAAAACATAACAAAGCAGCAACCTTGATTTGGTCAATCAATAACTTGGATGTCGGCTTCACAACGGTGTGCAGTGGCCTTGTCTAAGGGTTCTAACAAAGCCAAACCTCTTGAACCACAAACCACTCAAAATCACTCAGTCCACAGTAGTACGTACTTCGCATAGGTTGAAATTATTACTTGTAATATCTGGGAAAAGTTTCGTTACAATCATATACAATCATGATTTCCAACTGCCAACTGAGTATGACCACTGCAGTTATACCGTCTGTAGCCGCCAGTGTCTGACGAACATTTGGATTGCTCACGTTTCTTCATCCATTAGTTCCAAACAGTGGAAATTAGACCTCATGGGCACCTCTACCCTCCAATGTTCACCCTGCCTGGTTAATGGTTCACATTTGATCTTGCTTTCAGCCAGTCCGGCGGCTTTTCTGCCTCCAACTTGCTCAAGCAAGGATCGAAGAATTGTTCCAACCATCCACCAGCAGCAACTGGATTGAGTCGAAGCAGAGATAGAGATCTTGGTGGAGCACTCTTTCACGGGTCAAACGACGAGACGCGACATCCTGTAGAGATATTTAAAAAATGCGGCTAAATGGATTTCTGTGTCATTTTATCTCTCTCCCTCTGGCTGTTCACATTTCACACCAATAATACATTACAAGAAACAAAGAATATCTGGGGCAGCTCTGAGGCAAACCATTGAGATGTACATGATGCGCCTTTCCGTGCTCCCTATGCCCTATACAAACTTCACACCCTTACGCGGACGCGCGTCCGAAAACACGAGATGAGGTGAAGCCACTGCACTGCGCAGAGTTGACAGATTAGCGTGAAGTCCATAAATTGCGCTAGTTGTATCCACCTGTGAAGTCCACCTGTGTCCTAAGACGTCGCAACTAACCTGATGGTGGTCGAATCCTCCAAACGTCACAACTAACCAACGTTGCCAATGTTCGTTTGGGAGGTTTTCTCGTGCCCAAAGAAACGAAGCCTTTTCAACGATCGAAGGTCTGACCGAACGAAAGTGGCTTTGCCGGCCAGCTGCTGGGTCCTTAAAGCTTGAATGAATTTTAGCTGCCTGCCTAGCCATCAAGCTATCGCAAGCAATAGAATCAGAAGGCCAATTAGGCAACAGCTATGGGCCATATGGCAAAAACATGATCTTTAAGGTTATAAGTCTGGGCTTGTCTGGGCGTGTCTGGGATGACTCTCGCATCCACGCCGAAGAGCGAGTGCCAGCACGATGGGGAAATTCAACACGGCGACCAGGCGCGCCAAAAGCCCGACGAAGTTCACGCCGAAACCTCACGGACGGAGGGCAGTTCCGACGGCGGATGCCGAGAGCGTAGTACTGACCGAGGCTGTCCACGATGAGACGGATGGGATGTTGACATGTTCAATGGCATGGTTGAGGAAAATGGCCACGCTTGCTGAACTACTAGATGGTTGGGTCCCAATGGTGAGCCAACTGAGCCAACTCCCATGGTGGTGTCTCTGGCGTCAAGCAAGCAACAGTGCAACATTATAATTGTATACCTGGACCTTCCAACTATATACCAAACAAATCTGGTCCTTTTGGTTTTATGGTTGTTTTGGTCGTTTTGTGTGTTGTGCGTTATTTTGTGGATTTTGGTGGTCGTTTGCTGGTGTTGCGTGCGTTTTGCGCTAATTTGCGGTCGTTTTGTCGGTTGCGCTGATTTGCGGCCGTTTGCGCGGAAAACCGGGTCAATAACCAAAACTACCAGAATTCTTTGGTCGTTGGGAGATCCAGGGTATGAAGGCTGTTAAAGGCTTTTCATGATTGTGACTGCAGCAGTCCAAAACTCACCAGCATCCTCATCGCGTGCATGTATGCACACACCCATTAGCTGGTAGCCCCAACTGGGATAGCTGGCCTCAAGAGTTTGCGGAGCCGGCAGCCAAACTGCCCGTTTCTGAGGTTTTCCGGTGCGCGGCTCAGTTTATAAAATGGATTCACTAACATACTTAGGGATCACCATTGGACACCCATCCATTTGGATGGTCGTGGTTTGCTGAGGACGCGCACAAGGGACCTCATAGCATCTGTCATTTTTCAGGTGTATCACGTGGATACATATATATATATATATATTTATGGATGCGCTCTCTCTCTCTCTCTCTCTGTGCCCAGTCTCGGGATAGCTGCAGGTCACTCTGCAGGTATAGTGTCTTATTCTGCTCTGGTCTAGTGACTGGCTGGTCCCCCAGATTTGTTGGACTTTGCTAATCCCTCCTGCCCTGCCCATCAGCGGAACCTCCGGTCAAAGGTTTCACCTTTGAGGCTCCATGATCCTTGGGGTGTGCCAAAAGCAGTCTTAAAGGATAAGACCCTCGAGAGAACTTTCCAGGGTTCAGGCCTGAAGACTAACTATTATATATAACTACTATTGTAATTATGACTGTGTCTGAACTCCATTGGAAGCCGCCACTGCAGATTGAAGCCAGGAGCAGGGCGAAACAGAAAGTCCTCAGGAAAAATCCGACCGAGTTGGCAAGAGACCGCTCGCAATGTCCACAGAAATGTCATCCAAAGCTACAGCCGCAACCTTGGCAAAGTGCTCAATTGACGAACCAAGGCTGAAGGGATGGCACCAGCCTATTCTTGTGAATCAACTATATATATATATTATGTTTGAATCCATCGAGTCGAATCCATATACAAAGTTCCATTTGGTTGAGAACTCAGGGTTCCTTCAATATCCCTTCTTTGCAGTCATTGGTTGGATAGATGTTGTGCAGCAGGGCGTGTCATGAAAGATCTCTCAAAACAGGGTACTGTAGCTGTATCATCCAAACGGGCTGGTGCCGCTGCCCCAACCTGGGCCAATTAACTTAAGGGAACGCCCCGGAATCGCCTTCATCACCTCCTTATTTCAAGGCGATTCGTTGGATCAAACGATGTTTTGCCGATTGCGTGGGACGCGGGTAGGCGTCAAGATCCTCACTCCTCCGAAACCGTCCTGAAGGAACATCAGAAAAAGCCAAGGGTACCATGAGGGTACCAACCACCTTCGTTTGAGGGTTCGACCTTAGCTCAAAACGAGGCTTTACCAGGTTTGATGCACTTCGGGCCCTGGAATGCCAGATTAGTGAGTGTGCATGAACAGATTCTAGGATGCAAAGCCAGATTGGACGATTCTCATTGGGGTGGCTCCTTGCAGGCCTCTTCCGCCAGGCATTCCAGGGGGTAGGCATGGCGGCAAAGGCCGCATTTGTGGAATCTCCTTATACATGCACTGTCCACTGTATATTGTTTTATAGTTTATCGTTTCGGTTCTTTTTTTTCAGCCAATGTCATGTGCACACACACCCCAACGGAAAAGCATTTTTTTGTTCAATGTCAATTGTGTCCTTTTCAACCAAACTTTGACCGACATGGCATTCTGCCTTTTGAAGGAAGGGGATAGTGGATAGTAGGAGCGAGGATTACAACAACCGGTGCGTTGGCAAGCACTGAAGTCCGACTGCAGCCGTGGTTGATCAAACAAGCTGATGTTAAAGTCAAACAACAAGAATCTGTGCTTCGTTTGTGGGACTGAGCTAGGGCCGGGCTAAGGCCCCAGACTTATATAGAGTGGCTGTGTACAGGACAAATGCATCCAGTTTACCCATAGCTTCACGGGCGGCAACAACTACTGTCTTCAGCAATTGCAGTGGGTTGATCCGAGCAAGTTCCCAGTGTGTACTATATGTTGGCAAAACGTGAAAAAAACACACACGTAAAATTGGCCACAGCTAAGAGGGTGGCAAGTGTGGCGCCGGGCTGGCTTGATAGACCCCTAGGAACTCAGCGACCCCTGACCGACTGACCGATGATTGGTCTGTGCAGCAGCGACCCCCCGTCCACCTGCAAAACGGGTGTTTCGTATGTATGAAAGCCGCCTAAGAGGTTGTAAAAGAGACATGTGGGTGTGTATTCAGACAGAGACACCTCCCAGTTCGACCTCCTGGAAGAAGGACAAGAGACCAGTCTACCCAGCCAGGGCCAGGATGTCTCCCTACTGGAAAAATACACACCCATGTCTAGAGACCCCACGGTGCCACGGTTCCCGAACGCCTCCCATGTCGGACGCCCAGGAGCCGGAACGCCAATGACCCAAGCATCCCAGAAGGGAATCCCCGCGTGAGACAGCGCGCCGGCCATGACTGGCCAAACCTGGGACGCTGAAGGGAGACCACGGAGCAAAAAGAGAAGTCCAAAAACAAGTGAATGGAGAAGAAATCCAAAGTCATGGGAATTACGATGGGTATCGATTTGGTAATATCTTGAGATTGTTTAATAATGTTTAATTGGAAGTTTTGAGAGAAAGGATAAGCAGGAAATGGGTGCAAAGAACGGGTTCCTGTCCTGTATGTTCTTCCCAACCACTGAGCGATTCATGTATGTATAGTGCCAGAGCACCTGTTACCACAACCCTTAGGAACTGGACTAAGGACATATGACATATGATAAACGCAACCGGCCTGTAGTCTGAGGATTGGTTCAAAAGCAACAATACACAATAATGTTTGATCAATTTTGGTGGCGACATCAATTGAAGCAGAAACTCGAAACAAAAGAAACAACAACTACCAAACACAGCAATGGGAGAGACAGTTAAAAGAGTTTAAACATTATTCATGTCTATTTACCTTTCCACCATTCCCAACGGTTCAACAGCTGCAGGGTTGGAAAGCTAGTTCTATATTTCGAGTGTGTCTATCCTTCCTCCGTCCAAGCCTTGATGAGTGTTAGGTCCGAGCCGCTCCTGAGATCTACGTGTTTCGGTCATAGTCTACTAGATCCGCTTGTCTGAAACCCTGAAACCCCGGGTGAGTGCATAGTTTCCCCCCACAACCAAGCAAGGAGATCTCACATGCCCATGCCAAAAAAATCGCCCCCCCTCTCCGCCGGCATCGTCTCCAGGACCCTACAAGTGATTAGGGCCATAGGTTTTGCTTCTTTGATATACAGTGATTTCAGAGTAGATGGCACAACCCCCCCCATGTTTTTTAGGTGGGGTCCATATAAACTAGCTTTTGGGGATTGTGCCATCTACTCTGAACCCACTGTAATAGCCTCTTTTTTCGGCGGTGCCCAAGTGGATGACAGCCCTGTTTCCAGGCAACTCCTGGAGGGTCCAGCTGATCATCTGCCAGCAGCATAACCATCTCTTGAGCTGACCCTAAATATCTGACCCTGGTGGGCACATGTTCGTTCACACAAGACAAACAAGCCAGGAAGCCATCTGACGGGCATGACCTTCCAAAGCTTCTTGCGCCTCTTGTAGTGACACTTCTGAAGACACCAGCCTCAAAAGGATCGCAAACAGGCACAGTGTTCATCTTTTGATGGTACAAGAAGCCAGGAGAGTTTCAGAGCTTGATCCACAAAACATCATCAGCCGTCAGCCCTGACGTTCTCACTGCCCAACGTGAAGAACACCTTTTGGGCATTCCGGCCACTCATTGATCGTTCAGACAATGGATGGCCCACTACCCAAGCATGAAGCCATCAAGTCAAGATCACCCGCCCTGGAACAAACCAGTGAACCACCATGAGCCACTTCCTTGCTGCTCCGTGAGTGAGCGGCCGACTTCGCTGCGGGCAACATCTGACCAAGTCTTCACAGAATCTGACTACGAGCCCCCCCTCGATAGCCACGCGACTTCTGCACGATTGATTCGAATAATGCTATGGTTCGTCACATCAGTGTGCGTCATCATCATCCCCAGCAAATCCCCCCCTGCACCATCCCACACCCCTATCAGTCCATCACAGCCTCGATCTCTCTGCCAGGTACTTGACCGCCAGGGAGATCTGCTTTCGGTCGGGTTCATGGTGGCACTTGGCTTCGTTAAACGAGAAGGTTTCCTTAGACTTGCTTCAGGAACTAGGAATTAAACAGTCTTCCCCAGAAGGACATCCACTCAGTTGGGAGGAAAAAATTAACATCCGCGGGCCGCTGACGGCCACAAACCACATCAAACCACCAGGTGTCCACTTGATGCTTCAGGTTGGCGCGTGTTCGCCCCCATCTCTGCAAAATCAGGACCAACGAAGTGATCCTCACCGCTGCGGTTTCGGTGTCGAGTTGAGAGAGTGAGGAATAGGAGAAGCCGGAAATAGTCATGAAGTGAACATAGTCAAGTCAAAGGATATGACACTCCTGAAATATATTCAAATAACCATGAAAGTGAACAAATACCTCCCCCTGGAAGACCCTTGTTTCTCGAGAAAACAGGTGGTGAACTCCACTTCCACGATGACAGTCCACAATCCACAAGTCCAATCTGATCCAATGACAGTCAGGAATATTTCACTGTGCCAGGACCGCGGAACGAAATGAGAACGCATTTGTCAACAAAGGTCTCAGGTGACAAAATCTGATCAAAGCCAGTTTCACCGCGGACACGAAACCCACCCACAGCAAGTTTGCGACACGGAATGGCCATCAAGGAGATGAACATCAAACAATACATGACATACAGCCTTTATTCTTGTAGCAATGTGCACCAACAGAACCGCCCTCAATCAAAACAACAAGAAGTACCTAGGGGCATGTACACCTCACATGCCAGCAAAAGAACGGCAGCTCTCAGAGTCTTTGACCTGACTCTCAACAAACATGAGAGTTTATGGTAAATGAGCTCTTGAACTCTCAACAAACATGCGCTATAAGTTTGTTTCTGTTCAACGATGCAAATTGCATTTGGATTGGTTCCCACAGCATCAGTAACCAGCTCCAGTCTGTGAATATCGCATGGATTTTGCCTTTGAGCCATGAACACGGCTATCATCACTAATACGGCTCCCCTGTCTCAGGCACATTTTATTGTAAGACCACCTCTTGTATTGCTGATAATGATGCTTCTCATGGTTATATATATGTATATATATATATAATGCGCACATAGGATTATATAAGTAACCACCCCCTATTAATCAATCCCGGCTCGACCCCCCCATTCCTAAACTAATTGAAAACCTAGATTTCCACCTTGGCATCACCCTAATAACCTTTTTCCTAGGCAGAAACCTCCCCCCATTAATCAATCCCAGCTGCCCCAGAATATATAGCTTACTATTGTATGCAAATTCTTATTTGTTTGTTCTTGCTAGTATTCAATATCATCTCCTCATCTTCCTGATTATCACCACCACCTCTCAACTGTCTGTCTCATCCTGCTCACCAATCCTTTTGATGGCTTCTCATGGCACAGAATCCAATCAATCATCATCCATCATCAGGTCCAGGTCCTCATCTCATCATCTCATCATCCATCATCAGGTCATCATCTTATTAAGGGGATGTGGTCCTCAAATAACTCCGATCTCAGACCTTGTTGACCTTGTTGACCTTCAAGGGGGGGGTCCCCTTTTATTAATCCTACGTCGACATTATATTGGATGCGCATGGGAAACAATATGTCCCAGAAACAATACTTTGAGCTCCCACCAGCAAACACTTGAACATTGGCAACACAACAACCCCTCCCCCGAACATAGAAATGTCTTACATCAAATCTTCTGCTAATGGCCCGGCAATTTACCATTCGTGGCGTGCTTTGGCTGCCAGCCAGCCTTTAAAAGCAAAGTGTATGTTTCATGACATTTACGGAAACAAGTGCATAAGCATTCGGTAAGGCTACAAATCTTCCTGCCACTAATGGCTGAGATCTTGATCGTTATAGATATTGCATGGATGGATTGCACTCTCATGTTGTGATCCACCTGAATTGTTTTTTGAGCATGCTTCAATGATCACAGCCTCTCCAAATTGCAGGCCCAGAATCTGTAAGAGCGCAAGTACAGAAAACACCAATGCCACTATCAGGTCTGTGTCGATTCCATTCCTGGCGACGGCCACCGAACTCGGTGGGTCGTCCCAAGTAATATCCACATGGGTCGAGGGCTCTGGTTTTCTTCAACAATGGGTTTTGTTTTCTCTCACATCAAAACAATGGTCTTTGTTGTGTTGCAGCAATAGTTATATTGATTACATCGAATTTTGCTCGACTCTATATACTTACGCAGGGTCCTGCCATCACTACTAAGGGAGGCAGGTTTGAAGACAAGTACAATGTAGCATGGCAGTTGGTGGTACAGGGCACCAAAGGCAAACCTGACGCACTTCAACGATCAGGTAACAAAAGCATACCCATGTTGCTTCCAGGCATCTTTGGTAGGCCAAAGCAAGTAAAAAAAACATCGGATCCATGAAGCAAAGGTGGCTTGAGAACTGGAAAGTACTAGAAAGAACAGCGCAAGAGAAGGATCCTGCGTCTCTACCACACCGATGGGAGCTGTATATGACCAAATCATACAGAATCGACTGAACTCGCATGCCGCATGATCCAGTCTTGTTCAGAGGACCTTCACCTATCATGTGCACTGCCCCTATATGAGGATCTTGGACCATCCTGGTTCTGAATCTCTAGCACGGACTGATTCAACGACAAGAGTCAACACTTCAACTCACTAACGCCGAAATGGAATCTCAACGTGGTCCTTTTAAAAGAACTGCGAGTCAAAGACTCAGGAAAGAATTGTCTTTAGGGGACCTGAGGAGAGAATTTCCATGACTTCCCCGACGACAAGTAGAGCATCTGGACTTCCAGGGTCGAAACCTCTATGTTAATGGGCCGGAGGGTATTGACCTCTTGAAGTCGTCATCGCCGGTCCTGCCCCATTGCGTGAGGTTGTAGCGCGCGTAGTCCCCCAGCGCCCGTACCCTGCACGGAGACGGTGAATCGAGTCTGGGATGAAGCTGGTGTGAGCGGAACAGGGAGTCCGGTGAGCCCGTTGCATGGCCCAAAAAGTACAGTAATTTTACCAAAATGATACAGGTGTCAATCCAATATGATCCAATACGTACTACCGTATTACATTAGTATTTAGTATTATACTTTCGGACCGTCAAGTGTAGATTGTTTACTACTTTCGTTGTTGAGGGTTTAGCCTAGGGGGGCTCGATTCCCATCTGGCAGTGCACTCGTTTGGCTGAAAGCCGTCAAAACGAACGTTCTTTACGTGGGTGGCGTTCTGCGGTCCCGTGCCCACGGCTTTGCTGGGTGTGAGCTCGCGTATGGACCTCGACACAAAGTGGCGACAGTGTAGAGTAGAGTTTGTTGCATGCACCTTGTTACATGCCCTGGGGTGGGCGGTCGCTGGCAGTAGCCTTGCGCATCTGAGATGGGTTTGCCAGTCATAAGATCAAAAAGGACCTCCAGATTTGGAGAACACGTCAAGGAAGCATGATTTTGCAACACAAAGGTCCCTGCCGGCCCGCTGTTGGGCGTAAGCCCCTGAAATATGTCCGCCTATGTACTGTATTGACTGTATTGCATTCAAACAGCAGTTCCCTGCCCGAGATGAACGCGATACTAACAAACATGCCGGCCCAGCACGAGGTGGTAGAGGCGGTGAGCTGAGAGTGGTTGCTGTGGAGCTCAAGTGCGGCGTTGTGGCAGTGCAGCGGTGTTGCTGCTGTGAGTGTTGTGGTTGTGGCGGTGTACTGTGGTTGTTGTCCCTGTTGGTGTTGTGGGTGTGCTTGTTAATGTTGCTGTGACCAAAGACCAAAATGCAAATAATGCAAGGCAACTTGGGCTGCATAACTCGCACCGTTGGGCTATCTGAAGCCATCTTGAAGGAAGGGGGGGCACCCAAACGAGCATGAATATAAATAAAAAACATTGAAACATCCTTGTTTTGCAAAAAGCGCCAAGAACACATTTTGGTGCCTACGTTTGTGTCCAAGAGCAGAAAAGAAAACATCAAAATTTGTGAATCTGAAAAGCATCGACGGGCTTCAAACAATGCATCATGAATCATGACCACCAACAAAGCACACTCATCTGCTGAGATGTTCTGTCTCCAGCAAGTGCTCCGAAGAGCTTTATGTCTGTATGTCGCAGCACCGCAGCACCATGACCATCGGGCCACTCACTAATGCCACACAACTGAGTTCAACTAATAAATATTAATATACTATTGTTGATTAATACTATACTTAAAATTTGTAAATACTGTTGATAATACTGGCAAGTCTCCAGTTGTTAATATTCCTCTTGTGATGGCACCAAATCTATATCTCCACCGGACGTCCCGTCCTCTGGCTTGCCGTGTCCGTCCCCGCGGCAAACGCGCCAAGGCCAAGGTGCCATTGGAAAACAAAACAAGTGGGCACCAAGCTGGCCAGAGCCACCGGTTGCACAATGACATTGGCACCACCCTCCTGCCAAAGCTTCGGACCAAGCAACTTGAGCCGGCATTGGCTACTGTTGCTTGTAACAAAATATGACTGGAGACAGCTGCAAACATTGCCACAACACAATGTATCAGAATGTATATAGATGGAATCGCTCGAAATCACCTACTAAACCAAGTATGCAACCGGCCCGGGAACTCTTGGCTCAAATCCAAGACTTTTTTGGGGCAGTCCCTGTATAAACAACAACTTGGGATTTGAGCCAAAGAATCCTGGCCTGAAGACAAAGCGGGGACTTTGTCATGTCCTTCTGAAAATCAAACAGGTTTCGGCCGCTGCGATTGCCGCCCATGCGTGTGTTGGAGGTCTTGGCGGCCAAGAAAGCAGACATTTCGAAGACTGTCCAAATTCCTAGGCTGCACAAGGATCGCAAGGCCAACAACTTTGCATTAAGGAGGGTTGAAATCATACGTGCCATTTTGGGGCGTTTGGGCATTTGGGTATTCTTTGGTACCTGCACTGGAGGAAACAAGAAAAAATCGACTCGACATGGGCTGCCCACTGGGCCGTTTGAGTTCGCTACGCCACGATCAAAGGGCGGAGCTGATAAACCTAGTGATAGAACATAGAAAAAAAAATAAACTAAACCTATATGCTCGGGGCGACATAGGGATTTCGCAGATCCTACCTCATTTCCCAGAGTATATATAAAGATTATACAATTGGAACGTAATCCCCGATCCAAGACTCGTTGCAGGTAGACGTCAGAGAGGATCACGAAGAGCCGCTTGGAATGCCAAAGGTATGCCGTAATGGCCTCCACATGTGAACACTGAACATGGAAAACACAGAAGGAAATCCATGTCCACTTTTCCATGTCCAAATGTCCAGTTTGCACTTGCCTAGGTTATTGAACACTGGAGTTGGAGCATTTGGAAATACACTCGGAGATCATAGAATGAGATTCATGTCGATTCGATGCCTCAAAAACAACCGCCAGCATGCCGGGTTCTCTACAATCGCCACTAAGATAATCGGGCATGTGCCTCAAAAAAAATATGATGCATTTTCTACGCACGGCATGAACACTGTCACAGCCTCAATACCTTCTCTTTTTTTTCTCCTCATTGGACTGATCTATGCACACCTTGGCGGACATAGACATAGAGCTGTCTTGGCATCGGGACACCTTACCTTTGGGTGATATCTCTATGGTGACGAATGGGTGCTTTTAGAACCACTTATATAAACAATCTTAGACAAACACATACAAAATCATACAAATTACCAAGACTGGGCAACGCTTGAACTTCCCGGCGCAAAAGTTTGGAGATGTTTGGAGGATTGCATGCACCTACTGTATCCTACTGTCAAATATGGGACAAAGTTCGAAGGTGGTTGACTGAAATCGTATGCTGCAAAAAGCATAGCAAACATGATGAATAAAGATCCAAAGACTGTGTCAAAGAAAGCAGTGGGCTTTCTGCGCTTGAGTGCCAGCATTGCTTCATGCCAGCTCAGAATTGCCAGCCAGAACGCCTCGATCAGCGTTCGTCCGGGTCAGATCAATGACGAGGCTATACTATAAAATGCTATAAATGTTGGTTTGGAGCAGGGTACTCAGGCCATCTCAGGCCTATAGTTCAAACATGAACATTGCCAAGTAGCCACCAAAGATCCAAAGGCTGCTGTGGAAGCTTCGTATAACATTGCTGGAACTGCAGGAGAGTCAACAAGGGCATCAGGACCCCAGAAAGAACAGGAAAGAACTACAGGACTGGAATGGGATCCCTCGTCAGGATCTCATGCTCAAGAGCGAGCTCTATGCAGTCCAAGAACCACACTGCCAAACAGGATGCACCAGGGGCTAATGCCCCGTACAGTGGAATCCTCAGTCCGAAGCTAGAATCTCAGAAGGCGGCAGAAGGCGACTTTTTCTCTATTTGCATGCTAGCCAAGACACCGACGGCTCGTCCGAAATCACTAAAAGACTTGTCGACCTATTGTCACGTCTGGAGGCGGACGGCAAATTCCGTCAAGCTTCTCTGGCCACAAGGGGCATGACGCCTCTAAGCCGGACAGGCAAACCGATGCAGAGAAGACAGCTTATACTTATCGACTGGCATTCCGACCGACACAAGCATTGGAAATGAAGGTCAACTGACTGCATATGCCAATCGTGCAGGAGGTGAAATGAAACTTGTTGTAGGATCTTTTAAGATCTTTTAAGCAGGCAATGCAGGCAATGCCTAATGATCATGATCTCCATTTAAGAGAACAGCAACCTGTGACTCGCCAGACTGCCCCGGGCAGAGTTTCATCCCAACTCGGAACCCACGAAGCTGGAAACTTGTCGACTTCTACTGGTTGACCATGTGAAGCTCCAAATCCCAGCCTGATGCAGTCAGAACAAAGCACAAGACCTGCACCAGCAAGCTGATCAAGGCCTGCGGACCAGCTTTCAAAACGGCGTTCAAAATGGCTGATCTCCAACCTACTTGTTCAAGCTTTCTTCATCGATTCATCCATTGTCTGCCCAAACAATCCGAACAAGTCCGCTGTTCTTACAAATGTCCGATCGCCTACCCGCACGCCCACCTCCCACCTCAACAAGCACCCACTACTCACATGCAACCAACCAACCAACCAACCAACCAACCAACCAACCAACCAGATGACGATGACAAGAAAACGAGGGGGGAAACGACGACGACAACAAGAACAAGAACAGGAACAAGAACAACAACAATCAAACACATGTCGGGTTCCACAGGATGGCACTTCAAAATGCATCAAGCCCGAATCAACACACCGAGAATGTCGTGAAGGCACCGATTGGCGTCCGTTGAAGTAGAGCGCCATGGCGATGAACTTTGTCCAGCGGCCGACGCTCCAACCTCATTTAGAGAGCCAATTGGCTTTCACTTTTCGTCCAGTTGGGGATGGATCCCTAGAAGGGGAGGGGCCTATGGGGGAGAGAAGGGGTATGGAGGGGGTGCCCACCGGTATGCAGCCGACCTACTCCAAACAACCCACCTGTCAAACCGCGGTGTCCCATGGGAGGAAAACGGTGCCCGCGGACGCCCAGACTCGGATGAGAGGTCGCCCTCCGTCGCCGATTCCAACGGAAGTCGACAACAACCCGAAAAACTGTTCGGCTCTACAAAATTAGGGGTTGTGCACTGCCATGTTGGGATAGATGATAGATGGTCCTTGGTTGAGTTCCTCGAGCCTTGGATAGCCTTGGAGTGGCAGGTCATCCGCTGATGGCGCTGAGGTCGAGCTGGGGGCTGCTGTGCATGTATAGATTTCGGGTCTAGGTTGCCAGAGTGACCAATCACAATGTTTCCAGCGAATCACTTGGCTATCTGCTGTCAAATTCAAGCAGGTTGAAGGAGAGGTTTCACCTGACGACCTGAAGCGTAGTAGTTGTTCATGTTTATTCATCTGTTTGCGGCCTCCGTGCTGCTGTGCTTGGGAAGGCTAAATAGATTGATCCGAAAACTGTATCCAAAAAAGGGAAACTGTTCATATGTAACGATTTCACTTGGGATATCTTGGAATCTGATATGCTAGGTAGATTTCAGCAGGCTTGGTGACAAATTTGGGCCATGACTATGCCTGAATTGTCCCTAGAAACTCCTCTGGCTTGTGGTATGTTGGGCAGTTGGAGGTCTTCAACGTGTTTGGCTTCAATACACTACTAGAGACTTCGTTGGAGGTCAACCCGTCTGCCCCTTCGTCGTTGGTACACCGGTCCCGATCTCAGGCAACGGTCACACGACACCGAGCTGCTGTGACTAATGAAGATGTCCAGCTCCGGTGCTTGGAGTTCCTGCGAGTTCACAAGCGAAGCAAATGGAGTTCCTTCGAGTTCCTATCACGGGCCAAGAGTTTTGACCCATGTTCGAGTTCCAAGCTCTGAGGGTATTTCTGAGACTGAAGGCATGCACACATATCATTTTATATAATTCATATTATATCTACCAGGGCGTATGGACCCAGTTTTATCTGAGGTTCTTGGATTAATCCCATCCACCTATTAATAAACACGGCCCCCCCCCTCCCCTAATGAGAGAAGCTCGGTCGCATTTTTTCTAATAGGGGGTTCCTGAAATCGGGGGGGTCCAAAATAGGGTCACCTGGGAAGAGCTTCAAAACAAAAAAAACATCCATAAAACATTTATATAGAATCCTTCATTAAACTCGTATCAAAAATGCAAAAAACCTCCAGATCGAAGGGTCTTCCTTTTCCCCTACAAAACCCTTTATTAGAATACTGATTCATTAGACTGCGTTTGCGTGAGTCCGTGCCATTGGAGGAAGGAACACCTGCTGGTGTAAACGCGGCGTGTCATGGCGGATACACAGGGCGGACAGATGTGGGCAGTTACGGTTGTTTTTCGAACCTAATAAAAGAAACTACCCCCAAAATCGACCATGTTGGTAGTTTAGTAGCGGCTTCAAAGGGCGGTAATTTAAAAACACATATAAACCGAAGTTAGGGTTTCGGACGTGGTGTTTTTTTCAATTGGGGAGTGTTTATTAATAGGTACTCGGGATTACTTATATCTCATCGAGAACTCAGACTCAACACCGTGCTTGCACGGGCGCCAAACGGGACAAAACACCGACTGCCGTTGTCAGGGCGCGGAGGGGGTGATGGGTGATCGAACCTGAACGATAGTTGTCAGCGGTCCTCTGACAAGCTCTCATCATTGCGCCTGCCTTGCCCATTCTGCAGCAACGCGCCGGCAGAATGAAGAAGAACGTTCCTAGGCCCGGCCGATGCCAAGATCTAGAACGTAGCTTAAGACGAACGTAACGATCTAGAAAGGTGCCATGCAAGCAGGATGGCCTTTTCTGGCCTCTAAAGCAGCTGTGTAGACTGCCTGACAATTGGGTCAGTTTGACCCCCTGGAACCAGTGCAGAGACCAATCGGGAGACCAACCCTGGCCCGGTAGTTCCTTCTGAAGGCGGGGGTCGAACTGAGAGGTCTCCCTGTTTTCGTTCCCCTCTCAGCCTCTCAGTATATAGCCAAATGAGATCGGAAAGCTGGGAAAGCCCTGCCCACTCTGTCAACTATAGGACCACCCCGCCATCACCACGTTCCGCCCCCCCACTCCTCGCCTGCCTGCCGAGGATCGGGCTAACGCCTCGGACCACCACAGAGGGGTGAAACCTCAGACGGCGGACTGACCGTGGTGACCGTCCTGAAGGAGAGGCCTCAAGGGGATTGAACTATCTGATCTCTATCAGATCTCTATCTGAGCTCCGATGAATCTGGGACAAATCCTCGATGGATTCTGAACCCTCACATAGAAGTGAAGTGGAAAGCGCCCCTGCTCGTAGAGGAACGCAATCATCCAAGAATCCAAGAGACTATGATTGATGTTTTACCTTAATGTTAGTGAGTCGGAGGATATGACTCACGAATGTTGACTGTTGACCGTTGAAGAATGCACCTCCCTGCAATCCCTATCTGCACAATTTAATCCGATTATGAGGAGAAAATGTGAAAAAAACACTAGTCACTAGTCAACATGATGTTCACGTTTCTTTGCAACAAATATGTCGCGACGGTGTGTCAGATTGGTATACGGAGGAAAGCACGCACATATATGCACATATGATGCGATATGATGATCCGTGGGTAGGACGATCTCACAGGGGTCCATTAGAAGGTCCCAGAAATTGGTGGCTTGGAGGAGTGCGCCGCCTTGACACCACCACTAGCTCAACAAAAAGCTGCTCTCTTGACAAACATATTGCAGGACGCGCACTGCTGACTTCAGCAACCATTGCCTAGTCACATCAAAACTGAGCGTACAGGTGCAGTGGCGAGCAATGGCATACACGTGCATGCAGTGGATTATATAGGGATGCAAAATATGGTGCAGGGGTGTCTTGCTTTGCTTTACTGAGACAAGTGGAGACGCGACAAGAGACTTCCCTCCCACACCAAGCACCCGACACAGGGCGGTTCAGAAGGCAAGCTGTTCAATAGATCATGGCCAGGTTCTTCAAAGTGACCTCTTTGGAGTTCCTAAGTGGCCTTTTACAGACCCAAGTGACCTCAAACCGGGATATCAAAAGGTCACCTCTTTGGAGTTCCTAAGTGGCCTTTTACAGACTCAAGTGACCTCAAACCGGGATATCAAAAAGTCACTTTGAAGAACCAGGTGTATATATGAAATCCCATGCTGCTACATGACATGTGTCTGGTACACTGCGAGCACGCCAGCTGCGAGCTAAGGAGTTTCGACCTCGGAGCCAACCCATGGCCACACACTAGACTTCCCATTGATCTCAAACATCTGGTCCCCGCTCGTTTGGGGCTCCACCCCATCTCTCATGTCGCTCAGTTGTCAAACTCCGCCACTCTCTCTCGGCCGCGAAGCTGTGTGCTGCTGAGACCTCGTACCTCTGGCAAACTGCTCTCAACGGTTGCCACTGAGCGGTGCGAGAGGAACAAGGATGGGCTGAGCGCTGAAGTGGAGGATGGAGCACCAACACTCGGAACACCAAGACTGGAGCTTCCTGCAGACAACGCCAACGCGCCTTGAAAAGACGAACCCGGAACAGTCGGGCGTCTTGTGCTTCATGCCTGACCTGCTAAAGTCTTCAAAAATTGAGGAACTCCGTTCACATGCACACTCGTGGGCATGATCATGCCCCGAGCATCTCCATGTTCAGGCTGCAGTGTGCTGGCTTCAGAAAACTAAGCTGCTGAAATGCACTCTCAAGAATATTTGAGATCAGCAATTGACAAATCGCCGTCTGAACCCCAAAACCCAATCGATCGACATCAGCATCCCTAAGTTGCAAGGCATTGCCACTGACGTTTGCGATCAATGTTTGGCGTCCTGCAAACCACTCTCGTAGCTCCTCACTGTGCTGCCAGGCCTGGCCGAAAGAAGCTCGCAGGGAGAGTCATGGACAGTCGGTGGACCGATTCACCGTTTAACTACGCAGCAGCAGCTGCGAGAAGCCGGCAGCAGCTGCGAGAAAGGTAGAAAAAAGAGCGAGTGAATGGACGGCGACAATAGAGCCCTGAAACCTGTGTGGAATTCCCAGGACTCCCTATCCTCTCTTTGTGGTACGCTCACATTGCACAATCATGGAGTCGACATGTCAAGGATTTCATTCTCCAATCAGCTCCAACGATTCCACCGACGCGTACTCCAGTCCCACTACACCGGCCCAAGCACAGCGAACATCATTACCATTCGTTACCTTGGTTCCATTCTTCCCCTTCCTTCCCCTTCCTTCCCCTTCGCAATTGAGCAGTCTTCAAAATCTGAAAACACACCCAGAACAAATCATCCAATATCGCAGCACCGACACGTCAAATCTATCAACATATCAAAAGGGCCTCAGCCGCCAAATCTGCAGGCACTGGCTTCTCCAAGTCCTCCAAGGAGAAGCCAATTAAGGTGGGATCAGCAGCAAGATTGGAGCCGACATCCGCACACGGCGCACAGCAGGCCATGGGCCATGGAAGAAATCGAAACTGTGGAAGTGTTTGTCAAGTCATCGGGTTATCAAGTATCTGCCCTGGTGTTGATATGTGTTGATCAAAGGTGAAATAAAACAAAGTACCAGGACCTTCAACATGACCTCTTTGGAGACTCCAAGTGACCTTTTACAAGCCTGAGTGACCGCATTCTGGGATCTCAAAAGGTCACTTTGAAGTCCTGGTACTCAGTGTAAGTATATAATATATATTATATATGTGTGTGTGCCGTCCAGCATTCTTAGCAGGCTTAGCACAGTGAACGAAACCGTGTTTGCTTGCGTTTGTGCATGTTCTCCGAGAGCCGGAGGTCTGGAAGCCTTTATATACTTCAAGCCATGGAAGTTGCCGCACATCGACCTCAAAAGGTCGCAGATGTTGCATGGATACTCACCTGAGTGAGCAGAGAGGAACGAATAAAGCATCGGAAGAACCGCAAGGGGCCGTCTCAACATGTCCAAGCCATCTCAACATCTTCACCCTTAACACAACACGCGTTTGCTACATGTTAAAACAACCCGAGGTGCCACCCAGGTAGTGTGAGTGCACATCAATCGTTTAAACACGGTGGGACTCACGGTGGTTTTTTTCCGAACCCATTGCTATATATATATATATAGAAATACATTCAATACATGATTTGGTGCCAATCTCGACTCGGTGCCGTGTGACCCGTCCTCCCGGCCTACCTCTCCGGTTTCCCCGGGTCTCCCGCCTGAAACGCAGGGCACTGGCACGCAACTGGGCAAGGTGCCCTGAAGTTGCAAGGAGCCTCCGACCAATCCGCAGGACCAGTCCTGCGAAGGCTGAGCCGATGCGAGCCGATGCGATGTTTCTTCCCGGTGGCACACGGGAAGACGCCCGATGGACCGCCATATGACACGAAAGAGTGGTGTGCAAAGTGTAAAGAAACTGAAGGGTTCTTCCATGTTTTCCCGGATAAAATGTTCCCAATTTAGAGAGGAGGTTAAGATTATGATCTTCCATGTTTGCTAATCACTCGCTTCACCTTTAGTACCTTCAGTTTCTATCTGCGCCGCGTGTGGCTTCGCACCTGATCAGCCTTGAAAAGGATGTTTTCAAGGCCTCATCTCACATCTGAAGGGGGACAGTTCTGGTGATCCTGTTTCGATGAGCTGCAAGCTATAGGACTAGAGGGGTTCTTACTTCGAAAAATGGTGTGGCTCTGGGTCAGAATGCATGACCTGTCTAACAAAATTGGGTCCTGTGGGTCGATGTTGTGGGTCGCTTGAGCCCTCAAAAGAAGGGAAAACACGTCATCACCACGGGTGAGTCCACTGGAGTCCACTGAGTCCACTGGTTGACATGGCTTCGGCCAAAGAAACAAAACAACTCCCGACCGCCTGGATGGTGCTCCCTGTATCCAGGGCATACCTGGGGCGAACTCGGAGCGAGCGATAGCCAGCGTGTTCTGCGGTTGTTTTTTCGGATGGAACACCGGTGTCAACCGGGTGAATCAGCCCCAATTAGTGGAATGAACTCCTCATGGTGACAGCTAAGGACAGGTCATCGGCATGTACAGATCTTTTGAGTGTCTTCCTGTGACGCACACCATGTGGAGTGAACTACATCGAGAAAACCTTAGTCGAGTCAAGCGTGGATCGAGATGACTCAAGCGCATTAGATGTGTGCGGACAACGTATGCAACGAAGGCCGAATAGGGAACCCCCCTGGCTTGCCAGCACAAAAGCTTCTCATATTCGAAGGCTTCCAACAAAATGCCTCCACGATTGCTTAAAGGCGTCAATAGAGCCAGCGGGGAGGTTGTGCAGATAGAACAAACCCAGTTGGAACAATATTGAGCAGGGTTCTCTTCTACCTCTGAGCTGACAAGAATTCGACTCGGGGGGGGACATGTGAATCCAGCAAGATTGGAATGATTGGGACTGTTGATGGCTCAAAGCTGAAATACAAACCTTGTCCTACGAGTAGAATTCAGAAAGCATGCAATATTCCGTGTCGATATCGAAAGGGGTCTGTGGCGCAATTAGCCTTGAAGTATTTCAAATCTGTACAGGATCTTGCCTTCTTGATTTGAACCTTAACAATACATTGATGAAGAAAGGAGGAAAACAAAACAACTCAAAACAAACTACAAACAGGAACTCAATACGGAACAAGGGAAGACAGGACAACAAACAGGTGGGAACAAAAACATGAAATAGACAAAACACAAAAGCAAAGGGAAACAACATGAAGGCGTGCAAAGAACTGCCATTTTTTCTGCAAAAAGTTGCTCCCTACACTGCCAAGTGACCCAGCTGCACAGAACACTGTGCAGGAACTACCGAAGGCAATGTCCTGAACAGGTTAGCAAAGGGGTGCTTGAACATGTGTTCGCAACCCAACATAAACGTGCACAGTGACTTGACTCAACCCATGTATGCGCTATGCAAGCACATGCGGGCTCGGACAAAGTCACTTCACATGCATCAAGGCCTTTCTGAAGCTAAACGGAATTCAATTATATAAGCTGGGTGGCACCAAATACTTCTTCGATCATCAATCAAACAAATGCAGGTTTCGCCACGCAAACCCCTTGTCTCGGAGAAAGTGCGCTTATATAATATATATATATATATAATATATACCTATCAGTTCTTGTCAATTGTCATTTAGGGTAGTATTTTTTGGTAAACCCACGACGGTTTGATACCCTCCAGGTTCCACCTGGCTTTGGAGCCGATACCTGCGTATCCTAGACCTCCCGAACAGAGCAGGAGTCTTCCCGGCGTGCTTCGAGGTCGCCGAACTGTTGTGCCGAACCGTGATTCGACGAGCAGGACGAGCAAGCGTCCCGCCTGACACGTGTGCGTATGCTCGACACTGACCAGCTGGATGCTGCTGGGGCAAAGCTGAGGTGCACAAACCGGCACAGTACCGAGGAGCTGTCCTCCACACAGCGAGTCAGCGAGGGCAACATGAGTTTGGCAGAAGGACGTGGCTAGAAATAGGATCCTTCAATGAATCCCTTTAAGCACTGGGGGAAAGCAAGCGATGATTGAATCCCACTTCAACTAGCTTGACGCAAATGAGTCAAATGAGTAAAAACAGCAAAAACATGTAAAAACCATTAAACACATATAGTAAAAACTGCGGCCCGTCCAGTTTGATCTTGCCATTTCAACCTCTGACATGGGAATTCCGGAGGGTTTTCTTCGAAGGTCTTGCACCATCCATGGGCCTTGCACCCCTTGAGGCTGGCCAGGCATACTTTTCGGGGGGCCGAGCATCCATGGGCGAGCTCTATGCATCTTTAGTAGCTTCTTGTTACTAGAAGCTACTAAGGCTCCGTTCGTAGCGATGCCAGGAGCCCCGTTCGTAGCGTCCTTGCTCCTAGTAGTAAGGCCAGGAGCCCCTGGTAGCTTCTTGTTAAACTAGATATAAATCAAATGAACGACCTACATAGACCCCTGCCAGGATGGTCAAACATCTACCTTTGAGCGGATTTTGTTGTTGATCAATCCTTGAGAAACCGGGACACAATAGGCTCAAGGATGGCCACACCGATTGCCTGCACAGGAAGGAGCAACATTCAATTTGCCTGCAGGAAACTTATGGCGAGACCTCATAAAATGGCAGGAAGCGCATGCACCTTGGAGTTCAGTCATGATCCTCTTCAAGCCGCTGTGGGTCTCTCTTGGACAAAGAACGCAACTTGATGTTGCCGCAAGCTATAACAACTGCTATAACAAACAATGAACAACACTCCACAAAAGCAAAGTGTTGAACAATACAGGCTCCGTACCCTACCCTGCAGTTCAGCCTTCAAAGGCCATTGAAAGAAACTTAAAGATCTTAAAGAAGGTTGACCCGGTTTTGCCGTCTAGAATTCTTAGTAAAACCATATTCAATGGTTGGTTCAGAAACACATTCAAACAAGTTCTTCTTGGAATGACCTCCAACCTCTTTGGCCCCCCACCGTCCAATCTCGTCCGCCTAAACACACGCCCCGTTCGTCCTGATGCATCACCTGAGTCGGACCGGGTGGGCACGGTTTGTGAACTCCCTTGGCAAGTCTGTGGCTGGACATGGCTGGACACTGAGCTGCCCGGACTACCCATGTGATACAACAGAGTTCCCCATGTGTGAGAACTTTTTGAGGGTTGCAAGCTTCGTGGGTAACGAAATGGAGAGAAGGAAAGTTGAAAGGATGGATAGTCATGATATGCCATGATACATGTACAAGGTGGTTACACATCTGTTCGGAACACAGCCACGGTGGCCGTGGCCCATAATCCGGCTTGACACGTTCGGCCGGCGGTTCTTTGTTCGGCCGAACGCTCGCATCTGCCTGTCCAAGGCACAGGTGAGGTTGGTCGACGCGCCAGAAAAACCCGGATTGCAGGAGACGTCACACGACTGACCTGGACAAATTCACCGGTCGAGTCACAGGCCGACCGAAGAAACGCAACAACGCGTTTAGACCCATCGCTTACAGGTCAAAGAGATCGCTTTCCTGGAGTTGATCATACAAAACACACTTCAACGAGGTAAAGGACCAGGATGTGCATTCTACCGTCGAATTCGAAGGGTTCTCCGTGGTAGCATGACTTACCGTGTGCCAGGATCGAAGAAGTCACAACACACTTCTTAAACCAATGCAGTGGATTCTTATATAATGGATATATGATTAATATATATATATATGGATGTGCTGAAAATGCCCTATGTTGCATCTACTGCCATAATTGGCTGCTGCTGTCCCTCAACTTATTTCATGCTCCAATCCCACGGTCTCGGTTGTGAAGTGCAACATGTAACATGTGGGGTGTAGCTTTCAGAGGCCCAACAAATAAACTCCTCTCCACCCAAGCCCGTAAGACTTGAACAACTACTCACCGTACTGTCATACCCTACCTGTTGATGGAAGCAAATCCATGTAAATCCTAAGAAATCCTGCGCCAATTAGGAGTTCCGCAGTTGTGCAGGATTCACATTCATCTCAAGTTGTCTTGTGACTACTACCCGGCGGTCGCAATGGTCCCTGATC